TGGCAAAAGCTCATCAAATTCATCTGAGATGAAAACCCTTCTGACATATAATTTCAAGTTGGCTTTGTTGTTGTTATAGTAACTCTCATACAGATCATGTGGAGCCCTAGGAGGCACAAACAAAACAGCCTTGAACTCAACATCACCTTCTGCATTGAAATGACTCCATGCCAAAGGCTTTTCATCACCAAAATCCTGTAGAGCAGCATATAAATTAGACTCCTGGACTACATCCTTTCTATTAAGCAATGAAAAACAAGAAATCCAATCATTAACATAACAAAGTACCTTAGCCAGAGAATGATAAAATTTGGTGTACTCTTCATCTGTCACTTCTTTTGGACTCCGCAACCATATAGCCTTAACATCATTCAAAAGCTCCCATTCATAAGTGGTTTCCTTCACTGTTTTTGTCTTTGGCTTTTTCTCAGCTTCATCATCTTCACTTTTCTCTGCATCATCCTCTCCTTCTTCCTCAGAGGGGCTGCTTTCTGCAGTACACAGAAGTACAGTTTAAGGAAGAAAAGAACCCAAAATTTGGTAGAACATGTGTAATACTATTACGCCATTTGGATTGACTTATCTTTTTGGCGCTTCAAGCCCATATGCTTTGTCCCAGTGGATTTTAAGCTGGCAGTGAGTGATTTTAAAATGTATTTCGATAACTATGTCTTTCCTAACTTACAACTCTAAAAAATTGTCAAGTACTCGTTAAAATTAGGAGCTTTAAGCTAAAGTTTTAGTAAAATGACCAACAAGAGAAATGCTTTCATATTTTATCCGTGTATCTTTTACTCAAGAATACTTAAAAGGAGTAAATTGCAGAGAAATTCTTAAAGTTTGGATATAACTATAAATAGATCTACCGTTTCTCAAAAAAAAAAAAAAAAAAAAACCCAACCTTTTTATCATTTTGCAATTCAAAAGTTCTTAAAAACAAAATTATAGTGGGTCTCTGTAAAACTCTGTATCCTAGTTACATTCTTAATACTATTTCTTCGACATCACGTTACCTAAAAGCATAACTTTTTCTGTGTTTCTCCCGCAAAATAACTTATTACGTTACGGTTTTTTATTATTGGACAAGAAAGTAACTGCCATGTAATATGTATTTATCTACCATTTAATATTTATTAAAAAGGTGAAATCAATGATAGATATATTATTATAAAAAGACTAAGTTGATATTTTTAGGAATTGTTGACCTATTTCTAGTTTAACACGTCCAACCATCCAATGATTCTACATAGTTTTTACTCTATTTGCTAATAATTCAAATACAATTTATAAACATAAAGATTTCTAATTTTTCTTTTATTAAATGTTACTGTATGAGATATTTTATTAAATTTTGGGTAACATTAATTAATGCATTATCTAAACAAGATCATCGGAGTTGCTATAGCACAGTGTTAGGGCTACAATTTTTTTTATCTTAGTGAGTATAGTGGTCCAAAATAATGGCTAAGATTGCTAAAAGCTCTCTGCTTGGAGTTTCTCAAAAAAACTTGCCCTAAGAGTTTTCCTTTTTGGGCTTAAAGGTTGGGAGGTCATAGCACTTCTAACCTTTTACTCATTTTTAAACACTTACGACAGAAGAAAAAAAGATTACTTCAAACACCCTTTATGCCAATATCACAAAATAGCACTTGTTTAGGACCTAATGCATACCTGACTCTTCATCAGTCGAGTCATCTTCATCTGCAGGGACCTCAACATCAACCTCTTTGCTTGCCCAAATATAGATAGGGAAGTTGATGAATTCAGAATATTTTTTAACCAGCTCCTGCAGAAAAAAGTTACCGAGGCATGTTGGTTATTCAGGATGTGGAATATAAAAACATGTAATAACCTCAAGGATTCAGGACAAAGGTATGATATGCGGTAAGGTAGCAGCAAATTTGTAACTTATAGGTGAGAAACACCCACAACTTGGCGCAAGCTCAAAATAGCATATTTATATAGTAGCAAATGGATAAACACATATGTTGGTAAAGCAAAGCAAAAAAACAATTCTAGTAAACATACTCACTTTTAGTTTGTATTCCTCCAAATACTCCCCAGCTTCCTCTCTCAAATGCAATCTAATCTCAGTTCCCCGTCCGAGTGGTTCATTCCATGTATCCTCAGAAATTGCAAATGCCCCATCAGCCTTTGATTCCCATACGTACCTGATCAAACAGTTATTATCAATCAAAAGTTGAAACTTCAACCTTGTTTGAGAGTTATGCCTAATAGTAAGTTATAGGACTTCAAAAAACTCACTGTTTATCATCATTGTGTTTGCTGATGACTTC